TTCACCATAGAAATTTCAGTAATGTGTGATAGGGGCGTTTCTCTCCACTATCGCTGAACACAATTTGAGCAGGTTCAGAGAGCCTTATCATAATCTCAAATAATGGACGTCAATATCCATACCTTATTTCTCCATACAAATAGCAAAAAGTGAAAAATATATGGATTATGATAGTACAATATACATTTCACAACACATTTAGGACGGACATATAATTTTTTTAGAGATTCAAAATTTTAAAATATTATGTTAAAAATTTAGAAATATAAACTTATAAAATTTGAATAGTGTGAAATTAGATGATTGTATATTTAAATTATATGAGAAATCAAAATTTTCAAAGATATGTCCCAAAACCTGGTTTAATCCATCATGTGTGAGTGAAATAATTATACAAAATAAATTTTAATTAAAAAAAAGCTAAATAAAACATGTTCTTTTCAATCATTATATTTGTGAGAATAGTGGAGAGGGCATCCAACATTACATGGACCTTCATTTTGTTGCTTTTGATATCATTTGCCCCTCAATTGTAAGCAAGAAATTAGTTATTATTCCACACATACAAAAAAGCAACAAAAAAAAAACTACGTCGTTGAATAATGTTTTCTTTGTTGAACTCATCAAGTGGTTCTAGTGGTTATTAAGAACGAATACTCCCTCGAAATTTTTAAATTCGAATAGTTACATTTACAAAATGTGTGTGCGTTGTTAATGATTGAAAGACGAGTATTTATTCTTTTGAATAAACGAGAAATTTTATTTTTGGTCCCTCTTAAAATTAATTACCTCTCGTTAGAAATACACTACTAGGTAGAAGCTTGATCCCTCTCTTTAATTTTTTCCCAACGAAACTTTCTAGTAATGATTGGGAAAAAATCTTTTTAAAAATCTTTTTAAATAATAAAGAATTTAATGAGGAATTTTGGAGTTTATCGACGTTATTTTTTGTCTCAAGAAATCTACTTTCTTAGTGTTGAAGTAAAATAATCATTTCTCCGAAGGAAAGTATAACTGTTAACATGAATTGTTGTTATAGCTAATGGGGTATATACTAAATTAAATTTTTACAATTCAAATATTGAAAAATCATTAATAAATTATTTAATTATCAATATTTGATTTGTTAATACTATCAATCAATTGGTCTAATGGGTTGAGATACTAGATTCTTTAAACAAAGTCAGGGGTTCGAATCTTGACATTTACGAATACTTTAAAGAGAACAATACTTTTTAACCGTTGAAGTCTCTACAGACGTAGATCTTTAAACTCGAGATCTTTAAAGATAACAATACTTTTTAGCCGTTGAAGTCTATGGATTAGTTCAAAGAAATTGCTTTTGATTTCATGGTCTTTTGGAAGGCATAATGTAATATAATATACAGAAGAAGTTGAAAGTGGTTAGTACCAATGCCTTGCCTTTAATGCCTTAACCATGATTTTTAATCAAAGGCTTTGAAGCAAGTTGGGTAATTGACCACTTTTCTTTTCCAATGGTGCGTTCACTTTGATTAGTTCATTTTCCAATGACAACTTTTATTTACCACTACATTTTAGTGGTGCTCTAAAAGGGTTTTTATCAGTAATTATTCATGTGAACAATAAAAAATGGGAAAAAAATACAGATAAATCGAATCAGATGTGATCACGATTTGATAATGATCAAAATAGCTTTTAGGTCTAAGAATATTGTATTCAAAAGAGAGCTCAAGTATAAGACAATACAAAAGGAAATCATTGGGCAAAATGGAATCTAAGTACATCCAAGTTGCAATAAATAAGGATGACTTTAAATCTCAAGATCATAGCATGATTTTGGTAATGATACGTAGAAGTGTACAAATTAAATCGTAACTGTTAATCGATATAATCATTATAGTTTACATGTTAATTAATCTAATCGTTGAGGTTAACAATTTTAGTTAACCAAATTGCTAAATATAACGGTAACGACTACAATTACGATTAGAGATTTTGACAAACGGTTAATCATCGTTTAACCGTTATTAAATTATAGATATCATTTTTAAGGAAAATAAAAGTATATCGATTGTTTTACATTTAAAGATTTGTCTTTAAAACTTTGACGATGTATTGGATTATTTCTATGTGTTGAACTTTATGTATGATTAATGATGTTTATTTTGTGTTATGTTAGAACTTTAGACAAGTATAATATCATGTAGATGTACATATTACTATGTAGTATCAATTTATACTTTTCTTTTCTTTTTTCAATTAAGTATGTAGTATACTTATTAAGAGAAAAAAATATAAGTATTATCATATTTCTTATATATTTTTATCAAGAGGAGGTTTGGATCCAGATTTATTATAATTATTGTGTATGTTGATGATTTAAATGTCATTGGGAGTTTGAGACTCATGGAGAAATTTTGTGACAATAGAGTACTTAAAGAAAGAACTTGAAATGAAAAACTTTCAAAAAGACAAGATTTTTTTAGATTACATATTAAGCACCTAAAAAATGAAGTTCTTGTGTACTAAATGAGATACATAGAAAATGTTATAAGATGATTTTACATGTATAATATACATATATGGAGCACCCCAATAGTTGGTAGGTCACTTGATGAAAATAAAGTTCATGTTTTATCCTCGTGAAAATAATGATTATCTTCTTGATCTTAAAGTATCATACTTAAGTGTCATTGGTGCATTAATGTATCTTATTAGTTATACACGATTTGATATACCATTTGTTGTCAATTTAATAGTAAAATTTAGTTCATATCCAATACAAGGATATTGGAATAGAGTTAAGCATATATTTCATTATCTTTAATATACGAAATACATGAGATTATCTTTTCTTAATTTATTTAAAAATAGATTTGGTTGATTTTGCGAAATTCGGGTACTTATTTGATCCTCATAATGTTTAATCACAAACCGTTCATGTTCTTATTATGGTGATACTGGTATTTCTTGACATTTTATGAAACCAACGATTGATGTCACTTCCTCTATTCATATTGAAATTTTGACTATTCATGACGTTGATCATGAATGTGTGTAGCTATGATCTGTAATACATCACATACGAAAAGATTGTGATTTATGCCCCGGAAAAGAAGCTCCAATAGTCTTATATGAAGATAATATTAGTTGCGACACGCTCAAGTGAAAAATTTGCAGATCTATTTACTACGATACTTTATATCTCTACATTTGAGAAATTAATCTTCAATATTGGGTTGCACCATTTTAAAGATATAGAGTGATGCATCCATGAGTAAAATAAAATATTTGGTGTTCTTTTCCTCATATTCATGGTTTTATCCGATCGAGTTTCTCTCAAAACAATTTTAATGAAGCAATATATTATACATATTAAAATATGATGTACCCCACAAGATTTTTCCTAATAATGTTTTAATTGGAAATATATTTCACTAATAGACATCTAAAGGAGAGCATCATAAATTCATTTATGTAATGAATGTTCATCCAACTCCCAGATTCATGTATCTTATGATGTTTGAAGTCTTGTAAATAATGATCGTGTACATGCTTATAAATTATAAGCAACAGAAAGCTATCTATAATTACTAAATAATTAATTATTTGGTTATCAATAACAATTCCCTTTTGCTACTTTTCTTCATGTGCAAGGAAAATAAATGTATCCTCTAACATGAATTTTACAAAATAATAAATTTACGAAAAGTCATAACTTACAATGATAACAGTTGTTTCGATATCATGTCAAATTACACTTTTACTCCTTCCACCTTTATCTTTTTAGAATTGTGCTTTTCATTCTCTCTTTACTCGTATCGTTTTTTTATACCTACAAGTCTTCGATCTATTGATAGACTAATCCGGATCGAGTACTGCAGAGGCGAGGACGACCCTCTAACCCAAGTTGCTCCATTCACATTGTAAATATATTATACAACACACTTTTATTGACAAACTATGAGGTATCATGGTTGTTTATCTCATTTCTTAATTATGTGAACCGAGTTCGATCTCTTATAAATAAGATGTTATACTAAAATTAATCTTCACCGTTTATTAAAATGGTAATTTTAGCCCATATTCTTCTCTCTTTTTTTGGGAGTATTTTGACTCTCAACATTTCATTTTGAGGCAAAATGACCACTCCATGTATGAAAACTATTAGATAACAAATGGTTATCTCTCTAAAATAAGTATTTTTTATCCTAAAATGAAACATTATGGGGCCAAAATACTTTAAAAAAAATAAAAGAATAAGAGTCAAAGTGACTTTTTATCAAACGTTATGGGTCTTTTTGTCCTAAAATGAAACGTTATGGACCAAAATGCTCCAAAAATTTAAAATTAAAATGATCATTTTAATAAACATTAAAAGTTAATTTTGATATTATATTTTATAAGATTAGGGGCTAAAATGATACTTTGCTTATAAACATGTAGAGCCAAAATGAGCATACATTTATTTCTTTGCAGAACACTCACAAAGAGGGGATTAATCATTGCTACTGGTAGTGAATACTCTACTTTCGGGAGGGATTTGAAAATTGTGTTAAAACAGCTTAAATTAAATTATTTAATTAGAGGTTAAAAAGGACTAAATTGAATTATTGGCATTTAAGGCGTACTAAATGTGCCATTCTACCATTAAACAAAAAGGTTTAACTATTAATATAGACAAATTTACATCAAGAGATAAACCGAGAGGCAGACGGGTGGTCATCTCTTTTAAAAAATTCAAATTATCATATAATTTAAATATTTATTATTATAATATGTTTTCGCCTCCCAAAATCTTATTAATTCATTGTCTAAAATTTTATGAACTTATTCTATTTAATATAAAATTATGTGTCAATCGCTGAATAGTACATTTAGATAGGAAGAAGAAAAAAGTGCCAAAGAGCATTGATACCACATCTTTGTGCAGTCAGTCAGTGCTTCAAATGAATTGATTGTATTGTCTATATAAAGCGCTGGCTTTTGTATTCTTTGTTTAGAAATTAAAAATGAATGCAAGCTCTTTCACTAACACCATTTGCTTATAAGCTTCACCAAGTCTTCTTCTTCTTCTTCTTCTTCTTACTATTATCTTCTTGTTTCAGTACTGCTTGGATCATTCTTTCCCAGTTTCTCTAATCTAATGGAAACCAAAGGTTATACCCAAGACGGAACTGTAGATCTTCGTGGCCGCCCGGTGCTCGCCTCTAAAACTGGGAAATGGAAAGCCTGTGCTTTCCTCCTTGGTAAGAAACTATCACCTATTCCTTTAAGCTTCCTTTATGTTCTTAATTAAAGACAGTTCTTTTATCCCTTGAGTCCTCCATATATATATATATATATGTATGTATATATTGTACTTCAAGTTTAATACATAATCTCAAGTATGAACAGGATATGAAGCATTTGAAAGGATGGCTTTCTATGGAATAGCTTCAAACTTAGTGAACTACTTGACCACCCAACTCCATGAAGACACAGTTTCATCTATTAGAAATGTGAATATCTGGTCAGGATCGGTTTGGATTACACCAATTCTCGGAGCATTCATCGCAGATACATACATGGGTCGATTCTGGACTTTCACTGTTTCATCTCTCATCTATGTCATGGTAAAGTGACCTACATGTTTCTCTCTAAACCAACCTTTTATTTACTTTGCCTGTATATCTAAAGACAAACATGTAAGGTTTTATGTTAGGAGGTGAACTTATAAAATTTTAGGAGACAACATATTAACAATATAAATTACTTAAATTATATGAGTATTTGAAATTTTCAAGAAATGATATGTCCGTTAGTCCCTTCAGTCCGTCCCTATGTAGGGGTAAGCGTTTGATCGAGTCGAGTCGAGTAAAAAAATTTCGAGTTATTCGAGTTGACGAGTCCTATTTTATAACTCGGAGTTGACTTGAAATTTTTTCGAGCCGAGTAAAGTCGAGTCAAATTTTCGAGTTTTTATTTAAATTTAATTGTAAATATTTACAATATTATACCATCGTTTAATTCTTATTTAAATGATGTTTTATAATCATATATATATATATATTTGTATTTTTTTCATATGTGATTTACATATACCATATAAAGTCGAGAGACTTGACTCAAGTTTCGACTCAAACTTGAAAATCAATCTACTAATTAGTAAAAATTTCGAGTTATTTGAGTTTATTTTACAACTCGATTTAAACTTGAAATTTTTCAAATTAAGTCGAGTTTATGAAATTACAACTTGAAGTCAATTCGAGTATAATTTTTTCAAGTCGAGTCGAGTTTTGGTCGCCCTATCTCTATGTACATCATGATGCTATTCATTATATTGCAAATGTAATCTGAATAACTGGTGATGATTAAAACCTGTGTTGAAAGGCAATCTAAAAAGTAACATAAATCCAAAATGTATATTCCAAATGATGGGTGTTTATATTTTCAATATCTTCAACCACCAAGGAGGTAGTACCAATTGTTTGGACCATATTTGTAGATACCTACCATCAAAAGGCAAATAGGGTTTCTATCATTTTTTTTTTTTGGCTATGGTGGGTCCAATGAATGATGCTAAGATTTGATTTAGTGGACTTAATTAACATGGTCATTACTTTACATTTTGTTCTCACACAAAGCATATCTTATTTTCATTAGACCCACAAAGAAGATGCCATCTATATTGGGAAACTGTTATGTTCTAGTGTTTTGAATTCATTAAATACCAGTTCATTAGAATGTAAGGAACTTGTTTTCTCCAAAGAGCTTGATTTGATTTGCATGTGCTAATTGAACAAATGAATGGTACATAATTTTCTATCTTAAAACTTGTGTACATGTAATATGTTATGTTGACATCAAAGAGTTTTGATTCGATTGGTTAATGCATGATCGTATTCGAATAACCGGGGTGACGTGTGAAACAGGGAATGATAATGCTGACAACATCAGTTTCATTGAAGTCTTTGAAGCCAACTTGCAGACAAGGTGTTTGTAACAAGGCCTCAACTCTACAAGTTGTCTTCTTCTACACATCACTTTACACCATAGCCATAGGAGCTGGGGGAACAAAGCCCAACATATCAACCTTTGGGGCAGACCAATTTGATGATTTCAATCCCCATGAAAAGAAGCTCAAGGCCTCATTCTTCAATTGGTGGATGTTCAGCTCTTTCTTGGGTGCCTTGGTTGCCACTCTTGGCCTTGTTTACATTCAAGAAAACTTGGGTTGGGGACTTGGCTATGGGATCCCAGCAGTTGGCCTTTTGTTCTCCCTCTTTGTGTTCTATTTTGGGACCCCAATGTACAGGCACAAAGTAAAGAAGACTAAAAGCCCTGCCTGGGACCTTATTCAAGTCCCCGTTGCCGCCTTTCAGAATCGGAAACTTCAGCTCCCTATCAACCCATCTCAGCTTCATGAACATGAGCCTCAAGATTACATCAGCAGTGGAAAAAGACAAGTGTATTACACTCCAATTTTCAGGTTCTTGGACAAGGCTGCAGTGAAAGATGGCAGCTCAAGTAGCGCACCTTGCACAATAACTCAAGTGGAAGGAACCAAGCTTGTCCTCGGGATGCTATTAATATGGCTAGTGACCTTAATACCTAGCACTATATGGGCTCAAATAAACACACTGTTTGTAAAACAAGGCACCACCATGGATAGAAGCATAGGTTCAAGCTTTCAAATCCCAGCAGCTTCACTGGGGAGCTTCGTCACCCTCTCCATGCTCATCTCCGTGCCGTTGTACGACCGCCATTTCGTACCATTCATGCGTCAAAGAACCGGAAATCCTAGAGGGATAACCCTCCTCCAAAGGCTTGGCATCGGATTTGTCATCCAGATCATTGCCATTGCTATCGCATATGCCGTCGAGGTTCGGAGGCTGCATGTCATAAGAGTGCACCAAATCACAGGGCCTAAAGAAATTGTTCCCATGAACATATTCTTCCTGTTGCCTCAGTATGTCCTGTTGGGGATAGCTGATGTGTTCAATGCCATTGGACTGCTGGAATTCTTCTACGACCAATCACCGGAAGACATGCAAAGCCTGGGGACTACCTTTTTCACCAGTGGTATCGGAATTGGGAACTTTTTGAACAGCTTTTTAGTAACAATGGTGGATAAAATCACAAGCAGAGGTAATAACATAAGCTGGATTGGAGACAACTTGAATGACTCTCATCTAGATTACTACTATGGGTTCCTTTTGGTCATATCAACCCTTAACTTAGGGGCCTTTCTTTGGGCATCAAGCAAATATGTCTACAAAAGGGAAACCAAAGAAGTCAATGAGGGTTGTATTGAAATGGATAGTAAAGCCTTAGAGAAATATCCAATAGGATTACAAGTATAAACAGACAAATAAACATATACATACATATATTAAAAAATGGTGGCATATGATCATGTTATACCCTTTGTATGATATGTGCAGCAATTAATGTTTTCGGATTCTAGTTTAAAGAGGAAAGAGTGTATGTGTATGTGTATGTGTATGTGTATGTGTATGTGTATGTGCATGTGCATGTGCATGTATCATAGCAAATGCAAACTATATATATATATATAACAATAATGAGAACTGAATTTGAAGCATGAAGACAATCCAAAACACTACTCTTGATTGATGATTCTCTCCACAATACAATACAATACAATAGGAAGTGAGTTTAACTGCTAAAGGAAGATTTATCTAATTGCAAAATTGAGATCATTGGTTTTGTCATGACTATTAATGTACAAGATCTTGGGAAGGATAGCTGTACAGAATCCGTATGAATGTAACTCTGCCAAGCAACATAACGTTGTGCATTTCTCATTTCATCCTCGCCGTTTCATAGAAGTGCAGTTCCTTCGTTTAGCTGATAGTTGAGGCCTCAACTGCATAGGATGTGAAATGTAACACTACAAGGTTCAGGAACTATCCTGAATTCATGTAAAATTCTATGCAAGAATATAGAGTGCTTTGATTCTAAGGATTAAGGCAAGTCCAAAACGATGAAAATAATGAATTAATAACCACAGAATCATATAACAATTGTCCAAGAAATTTGATTCAATAAAAACACATTTAGTCCTCCCCGAGTTTTTGTTTCACCCCTCCAACCACTAGAAGCATTTTATCCAAAAATACCATAAATAATTAATAAAATACAGATCCTTTGGGTATCTCTGAATCTGATGTCAAGGACACAATCTAAACAGCTTATAATATTCGTAGTTCTATGGAGTTTTATGATGCATATTATGTAGTTTTAGTTCTTATTTCTTTAGGCACTTTCAACCTAAAATCAATTAGTAATAAGTCAAAAAACTAAACTCGGATTTCAGCTACAGCAAGCTTCAAATCTGACTAGTGTGGGATTACAACAATTGAGACGTCTAAAGACACAACAATAACAAATCAGCTAGATGAGCCTCCCACATAGATAACAAATACAAGGAAACAAAAAGTTAAAGAACTAGTAACAAACGTTGCAACAAACAACCCAAGCTCTATTAATATTGTAAAAATCCAACTTAAAACCAATTACTAATAAATTTAGCGGTCCAACTTGAATATAATAGTTAAGAAAAGCTAACTCAAAACTTAGCCGCTGATGGCATCAATTCTACTTGATGAATCTTTCAACTTCCAATTTCCTTTTGGCAGAAAGAAAATTATGAGCCTAAAACAGAAAAGAATTTTATCCCATTCAACCAGAAGTCCGGTTTTGGAGGTTATGTATTCCCCACATCTAATAGTATAGGGTATATAAATTCCATGTTGTATACTAAATAGCTCTTCTTGGTTTCAACAAATTTTCTTATGCAAGAATATATAACTTTAAATTTGGGATCATGTTAATTTATAGTAGCCGAAGTTGCAAACACAGTTCAAGGATTCTTTAACCCTCCTTCCAAGCATTATTTGATATTCAGATATCGAGAACAACAAAAAACAAACTGCACACAGTAATTACTGAAGATAACAAAAAGAGTGCATTGGTACATACCATCTCAATATACTTGAGCTGCTTCAAAATCTGATCAGTTTCAAGCTCCTGCTAAAACAAATGCAGCAATAGTTTGATTAGAGTAAAATTTATGTCATACTTTAGACAGATTAAAATTGAATTTTACCTATCAAAAGAAATTCAATTTTATTCTCGAGTTGTATTTTATGATAAAAGAGCCAGAGAATAGGAAGCATATACTATAGATGTAGAACCTTGACCAGGGAATCAGCATGATAAAAAGAGGAGAGGAAAACTGTGGTTGTGGTCAATATGCCATAAAACCTTGCATTGGCAGCTTGTTCTTCCAATAAAACTGCCACTTATATGACACCGCTGGTTCTGTTTTGGACAGGTTGATGAACTATAACCAAGAATTTTTCTACTCTAAAGATTGCATTGCTTTGTTAAGCAGCTTGAGTCTTAAATTGAAATCCATGTTTTAAAAAAAGTATATGCTTCCATTATAAAAGTATCAGCATCCAATGAAATATATGATTAATCCCAAACCTAGACTAGCCTTCCAGATTAGAAAGAACAAAATAAAATTCTAAACTGATTATTGCTCCATGAAGATGTTCCATGTTAATTACAAATTCCAAAACCTAGGAGAAAATAAACATGCTAAAAGGCTTATCACCTGAGGTACAGAACAATCTGCATGGGATGGATCCCATTGCACAGAGCAGAAGCACTCCCAATCATCGGTTTGGACTACAAAAAGCGGAGCCCTAGAAAAGCAAGAACTTAGAAGTTAAGAATCTAGCATGAGTGATGCAAGAACCAAAAGAACACCAAGAAAGAGACTTTAAACTTACAGGTATGTTAAGTTACTAGCAATGGAGTCTTAAATAACAATAGCTCATCTAGGGAATGTTTTGTACCTAGTTTGAACTGAATTTCTCCAGCTCTTAAGAACAATCTAATCATCTTTATCCACAATTATCATTATCAATAATAATATCTTAGGTGCATAGTGTTGACCAATCATCTGATAAAAAATTGAGCTATGCTGAACCTCCATCTCGATTTTCAAATTTTTGTATGAAAAACAATATCATCTACAAACCATTAAGCATATGATAATGAAAAAGGATGGTGAAATATGACATATTCCCTCAGTTGTATTCTCTTTGAGTTCATTCTTTGTAAATTGACAATTTTGAACTGAACTCTTCAAGCTTTTCAGAACAATTTAATCATCTTTATCCACAATTATCATTATCAACAATATCATAGGCATGTAGCATTGACCAGTTAATCTGTTAAGAAATGTGATACACTGAACTTCCATCTCAGTTTTCAAATTTACTACGAGAAACAATTTCATCTACTAAATGTTAAGCACACAGTAAGGGAAAGGAGGGTGATATATGACAGATATCCTTGTTATTGTTTGTCGTTTGCTACTAGAAGATCAACAATATCGTAATGTAACATGTTTAGTTCAAGATATGGGTCCTTTTGTTCAGAATCCAAATTTTTAGACATAAAGAACTGATATCATTTTAAGTTTAAAAAATAAACATCTACAAGTTAATCATAAATAAACTGATTAGGATACCCTAGAAATAAATGACATGAGTTTTAGAAAATATCGACTTTGTACTAGCATAAATGGAAGAAAGAAGAAAAATATCAAAGAGAGTAAACTATACCTGCGCCACTTTCCGCAGATGGTTCCTTTACTGCCTCCTACACCTTCTATGAAGTCTCTGCATTGAAGCCAGTTCCCTATCGAGCTTACTTTAGATGACTTGTTGCAATTCATTTCCTATGAAGAAAGATGTGTCAATTCTCCTCAAACCAAATTGCCACTTGTCTGCAAAATGGCAACACTAACCATGACAAAAATCAAAGCCTTACATGGAAATCAGTAAATTCTGAAATATCCAAGTTTAGTGGTTCACCAATGGTATCAACATCACTGCATCATATAACAAGAAGCTATTTATGAAAGACAACACTAGTGAAATAAGAAAGCACACAATAGCAGCTAATTTCTTTTTCCAAAAAGACTTTCCCTAAGCTGAACTATTTATGAAGGACAGCACTTGTGGATTAAGAAAGCACACTTTTTTGCAAAAAGATTAACTTTCCCTAAGCTGAACTATTTATGAAGGACAATACTGGTGGATCAAGAAAGCACACGATGGCTCCTAATTTTTTCCAAAAAGACCAACTTTCCCTAAGCTGAAAATTATCAGTTCTATTTCACCCAAGAATTATGAAACATGGGATTCCAAAACAAAGTGGTAGCTAAAGCAGACCACTTCCGATCAGAATAGACTGTTAACTCATTAAAAAACCATAGGCACTTACAGAACATCTCAGCCATGGAAGGTAAATGAGAAGACTAGACTACATATCTATATATTAAAAGGGACACCATAACAGTTTCTGGCTAAATATCATAAATTGAAAATCTAAATTCTGACTTCTTAGAAAAGAAGGGCACTTAGGCAAGATCACATCAACATGGTGATAATCTGTTCTGAAATAAAAGCAGAATTTCTTTTTCCATTGTTGCATGCAACCATGAACAATTAGACTGCCACATGACAAGCCATCAAAGAAATCCTATCAGTTTAATAGAAAAAAGATGTTTGGCATCATCGCTTTCTTCAAGGTCGATGCAATTAGCCTGCTTATAAAGTCAAATTTTTTTATCTCTTTCCCGTGTAACTTATCTAGCCTCTCAAATTTTATGTCTTCTCTCTAGCTCAAGACGGAATCTGCACCTAGGACCTTTCTTACAAAAAAGGATAAAATTGTTCATAATCATTAAGCAATATAACCTCTTAGCAATCTCTCCTTAAGCTCCTCATATCTCAAAGCATCAAACAGTACCTTCAACTGCATTGTTTCAGACAGATTTTCATCTGTCACAAAGGGAAGCCTAGGTAGAATTATTTGGGAACATAACAACATAAATACAACTTCAAATAGAGAACTGCATCACTCATATCTATGTTCTAGTATGCACAAAATTAGAGAGATCTAAATGCATGCAATCCATATAGACAATTAACTTAAAAATAAATAGTTCATGGAACATACTTATCAATTGGACCAGAACAGTCAGGAACTTCTGCTTGAAAACCTTTTCCAATTCGAACACTAGTTCTATAAGGCTCAGCATCTCTCAACATTAATTCTATTGGACTGACTTTCCATTTAGATGATACATCTCTGTCTCTGCCCATTCCACCGGTGATACTAGAAGGCCTTCTTGCAATTATCTCCTTGTGCATTATCCGCTTCTTTTTCAAACACAAAATACAATTCCACTCATCAACAGGTATTTTCTTTACCTTGAGATTGCAGCAACGCATGTGAAATGCCTCTTCACAACTGTCACATATTAGCATCTTTTGTGTTGTTCCTGAACGGCCACAAATATTGCATAACCTAGAACACCTACTACCACTACTAGTCCCAATCTCCTCATTAGCACAAACCCTAGATATCCCAACTTCTTCAACATTCTTCTGCTTCTGAAGTACAGGGACACACTTAACTTTTTCAAATAGATCTCCTCTCACAACTTCGGCAGCTATTACACTAGAAGAGGTGGACTCAGCATTCTCATCCACCTCAACTTTCTTAGAAGCTGATAAAATATCTGTAGTTGACTTTGACGATGAACATCTATCATTTATACTGTCAACGTCTATAGTTTTCTGCATAACAGTTTTATGTACATCATCAAAACTATGGTCGTTCACACCAGAGCATCCATTAGCAAATTCATACTTTAAACTGCGAGGTTCTCTACTGCGTGCAAGAGGCATCACAGTATCTCCAACTGCTACATTTCTGTGTTCAACATGAGAAACTCTATTTTGCTCCAGTGTTGCCACTAAAAGAGCATCCGAACTGACAACAGAAGGACAACCCCCACTTCTGCCTTGCCGTTTCTTCCTACTGAAAACAAAAGCAGGGACAGGGCTTTCAGACAGAAAACTCACAGATGACCGTTGAGGACCAGATCTTGGTAAAGGAGGGCATGAACACTCGGCCACTTTGCATCCACTCAGAGAGATATTATCACATCTAGGAGACATCTGCCAATTTTGGTTACCAGGCACATAAAGAATCTTGTTTCCCAAGGTTATATACATAAACTAGGCTGGCTTCAATTGAACTAAAATCTAAGTATTCATCAACAATTCACCTGATATATTAAACAACAAGAAGAACAATCTGGGTCTTTTCCCTAGCACTCCCAAATTACTTCCACTAATCAAGAAACCCCCACTCTTTATTCCGTTTCAACCTTCCTAGTCAATTCCAACGATATTTTTTCAGCAAACTACTAAACAAACGAGATATACCCAATTGAGAGAAAGTAAAGGTGAGAATTTGGCATACCCTTTTCGCAAATAAACCATAAAAGAACTTCGTTTTTGCATTATCAAGCCTTGACCATCTCTTTTCATCCAAAGAAATACAAAAAGGAATGTTGGGGGGTTTGCACTTTTTAGCAAGAAACAGAAGAATGAAGGGAATTCAAGGGATCAAACCTGGCATAATAACTGTTGTAAACCGAATCGTTGAGGCAGAATCTGAAGAGGACAATGGGTTTTGGTGTTTGTGATCCGGTGAGATGGTGGACGGTGGCTTTTGAACGCGGTGTAATGTGTTTTGGGTCTTGCTGGTTTTGAATTTCACACGTTTGAAATTCAAACTTTTGAATTTTACACTTGTTTAAAAGGCCCCCTTGAAAAAATGAAAACATAAACCTAAAAAGGGAGATAAGTACTTTATTAAGTAAAATCAAGTAAAAAAAATTGAATTGGTTAAGCTGAGGAATATGATTTTATAATTTTAATTTAATTTAAAAAAATTCGTGTCAAGTTGAGTTTATGAAATTCGACGAATTATTCGAGTTTCTGTTTAAATTTAATTATAAATATTTATAATGTTATGGTATTAATTAATTCTAATTTTAATGACATTCTATAATCATTCATAACATATATATATATATATATATATATATATATATATCATACATAATTGAGGAATTCAACTCAAATTTAAAAATTACTCCAATTACTAAATATTTCGAGTTATAGAATAATATTTTATAACTCAAACTTTACTTAAAAAAATTTGAATCAAATCAAGTTTATAAAATTACTAGTCAATTCATATTTATGAAATTACGAATTGATTCAAATTTTTTTAACATCAAATTGAGTAAAAAAAAACTATGTTTTAAATGGAGTTTTACTTACCCTTGAGCTTGACAAACCGAAAAAAATTAACATGTACAAATTATGAAATATAACTATCAAATTATTAAAATCTTAATCATTATAAAATTGTAAAAATAGGTAAAATCTACTTTAAATTTAAGGTTGAGGATTCAAACTACCCTCCAGTTATTTCAAAAAATTTAATTTTTTATTAAATCGAAACTTTTAACTGAAAATTTATATCATTTTTGTTTCAAAATCGATCATTTGCTGTAATATTTTTGAGTTATTTGTGTCACATGATATGCCCATGGTTCGCAACTTGGAAGATCCATATTTTTAATTTTTTTTAGAAACTTATAAATTAAAATTTATTTTAAAATTATGATAATTATAAAAATCTAAAGTATTTTGAATATTGAAATTGTTGAAATATTATTAAAATTATAAAATCTATAAAGAATTCTAGAAATCAATTAAAAATATAAAAATATTCAAAAGTTATTGGAATGTTATAAAGCTTTCGATTAAGTTTTTAAAAAAGTCAAAAATTATAAAAATGATAATAACAATTAAAAATAAAATATTCAAAACAACATGATACCGTTGCATATAAAATCTAGGCTGAAAGCCATGTAAAAATAATTTAATTTTCTTACTAATTTCTCTTAACTAAATTAACATAAAAATATTTGAAAACAAATAAAAACAATATTTTATATCAACAATCAGTTGATTTAATAGGACGAAGTACTAAATTCTTTAAGCAAAAGTCAGGGATTTGAATTATAGTGTTTGCAAATGGAGCAAACTGGATTGAATGGTCACCCTCGCTTCTACATTATCCAATCTGAATTAGTCGATAAATAAATCAAAACCAGTTGATTATACTCAAAAAAAAAAAAAAACCCTTGACGCAATATTACCTTGACCTAATCAGTCATCGCTAACAAATGGTAGCAATGCTTTCTTCATCTTTGCCATTGGCTGACTTCCTCTAAACTCAGTCCGATTCCTTGGTTTAGCTTTAACCCCGAAACACAATGTCGAAGCCCGTGATCCGAGTCTAATATCATCGTCATCGCCGTCATCCATGCAATTGTGAACATGTGATCTTGAACACAAACACGAAAAATGGCCCCTTCGTCTGTGAATTGTCTTTCGGTTCATGAACGATGAAAAAGAACCGGAACCATGAAATGGCGACCATGACGATGATGGAAGAGATGCATGGTTTTTCCTCGGAAAAATCAGCTTTCGAAAGATTGAGCCTAAAACGGTTGACGGTTTCAAGCTCTTCTTCGTCATCGGTTTCGGTTTTGACTTCATCGAAGAATGATACAAAGGAGGCGGAGCTAGAGGAGGAAGCGTTGTGTCAGATGAAGGGTGTTTAGGGGTTCCGGGGTGTGATTCCCAATCGAACGGAATCGCAACCGAAGCTCCTCCATAATAGACCGTTGAAGAAGAATTCGCCATGGATGTTTCCCTGGACGTTAGCCTGGTGAAGAACTTGTTGTCTTGCTTGATTTGGAGACCTTTCTGATCGGGCTGAATCTCATGTAAATTGCCACTGTCACTCAACATATTGGTGATAATGGATTGATAGTAATTTGTCTTGAGAGAGTGAGTGTGTTAGCTAACACTTTGTAGATCTCCACTTTCTCAAGATCCGAAGTTGAAGCCTCGTGAAGATCGGAATGGAATATTTCAAGGCCAAATAACATGTTTACTTGTCTAAGTTTGGTGGGTATATGACTAAGGCTCATGCAAATTTCTTACATTTTATATTGTTCCTTTATTCTCGATGTTCAAAACAAACCTCATTCTGAACTATGGGTAGAGTGGTATTTCAACTAAAAAGTTTATTTTTTATTTATTAAATCTTAGTTCAATCAATACTGTTGTTAAAATATCTTGCAAGTTGTAACTTTAAAAAATCAGATAATAAAGTCCTTATATGTATCTAAATACAAATAATGATGTGGGCAGGTGACAGTAGAACGAGTCCAAAGTCATACTCGTGTTTATCTCATCACTCACAATATGAGTATAATTTTTATTTTCGTCTCCACTCCATCATTCATGAAAATATATTCTTCTCGCCTAATTAGATGCGAAATAGAACGAATCTTCGCAAAATCTGTCCTTCTAGATCCCTATCTGCATCATACTTATAATTCTTTTGGAAGGATCCAAATTATTAATTAGAAAGATCTAGCATAATGGAAGAATTCCAACATATTTATTCAGAGTACCTTACTAATTTCTTTGTATAGGGTATATGTATCCATGTGAAGTTTATTTTGTATGTCAGTCTCAAGCCTAAATTTGTAATAATGACTAGTTTTATTTTATCTGAACTTAATTGTGTCGGAACTCCGCACATGTATCAAATGTTTTAAACAAGCATACGTTATGGATGATGTTTTATTTTGAAATGTGAATTGTACTCCTTAAATAAAAGAATTTATAGTTTGTTGGTTTTGTCATTATATGGGCCCAAATGTAACATTGTAAGTCCATCATACTAACAAAATTGATTTAGAGTGTTACAAGGGTTAATTTTATTTAGGTAAAAACTAATTTGATATTTTTGTTAAGTCCTATTACTAAGTGATAACTCTTCAAAAGAGTTATCATTTTAGCACTTTATACCTACATTTAGCTTGAATTGAGTATGTTTACAAGCATTTTAGGATTAGTTTAGTCTTATTTTTATATATTTTTGCATTGTTAAATGTTAGGTTAACTTGGGCTAATTTTTAGATTTTTTTGTTGAAAAAGGTGTTGATGCTACAGCGTTGAAGTAAATGCTACAGCAACTGATGGCTCACTAGGCTAGGCAGAACCTTCTGGAATGGGACAGCTGGATGGGACAGTTGTATCATTTCCAATCAGTTGCTGCTACGTGGAAATTCCTCATTGGAGAAGATTTGGCCTCCTCCACCTATAAATAGGACCATCCTCAGCTCATTTCATCGTCAACTTTTCATCCTCTCCTTTTCTACACAAATCTCTCGTCCTTTTCCCATGGTTGCCTAAGCCGCTAAGCCGGGGAGTGCTACAGCATCTGGGGATCAGCCTTCACCGAGTAACATCGGCAGTCAGCAAGATCGCTTCAGCTATTTATACTTTATCTGAGATAGAGAAGTTTTAGTCAATTGAATTAATGTATTTTTGGATGTTAATTGTTTTGAACTTAGCCGTTTTGGTGGAAACTTTGTCTTTGTGAATGCTTTTAATTTGCTACTTTGTGCCTTGCACTTTTTGAATGGTGAAAGAGATTTCATTATTTAAATATGTTGTTTATTTTATTTAGAGGTAAACTGAATGACATGCATGCTAGCTTTGTGACCTTGGTATTGTGAGAATCAAATGCATGTTGAGATATATGCTGCCAAGTGTTTAGCATCATTACTATGTGATTGTTTGTTTTAGTTAGTGCTAATTCATATTAATCCGTTAATAGTAATCAATGTTGAATACATTGTAGTTAAACTAATTGTATGAATTAGACAAGGAATCCCTTTTATCATCTCACTCCACTTAATAGTTGACTCTGTGCTGAACCTAGTGTTGTAGCGTAACCCTGCCTCTATTATCTTTTTTTCTTTTAATACTTGTTTCATTTTTATGTCAATTTAACCAACATTTATTTCAATAACTCAATTGTAAACTTTCTGATCTATGTGGGTTTGACATCCGAAATCCTAAGAGGATTTCCACTTTATTACTTGGTGACAATACGTATACTTGCATGATTGCTATAACATTTTAAAGAGCAACACTAAGTGAAGGCTCTCTGACCCTTGGGCAGTTTTTATAATTCATAAGCTTGGGATGAAGGTTTCTCTATTCTTGACGTAGACATCTCAACGGTGTTTGGAGTAGAGGCATCTCCCTATTAATGGGTAACAGAGGCATCTTAACTTTTGATTAGTTAATACGAAAGCAACTTAACACATTCGATTAAAGAGAAGACATCCCCACTATATTAATATAATGGGAGTGTCTCAATGCCATGACATTATGACACAGAATATATGACACTTAATCCTAGTATTAGTGGAGTCTATAGAGTTTTAATACTAAAATAGAAGAAAAAGAACTATGATATTTTCATTTACTAAAGATGCTCCAATATTATATAGTACGCTAAAAGGAAGTTTTTTCCTAGCTTTATTTGAGAAGTAATTAAGTTTTAGTCTATGTCTTGTCTAAGTCTAAGGCTGAGATCAATATCTAACTAGTAAGTTTCATTTAAACAAGTTCTTTGTTCATAAGACTAATGGGGAGGAAACTCTTATTTTTACTACTGCACAAAAATCATTAATGGTACATGTGTGGCTTACCAAGTTTCTTCACCAAATAAGCGATTGATGAGCTTTTTACGTTGTTTTCCAACATGGGACCCTCTTCCTATTAA